GTCACATTCTGCTTTAAAAAGTTGTAACAAATACAGATGACTTAAAAAAAAAAAAAAAAAGCAGATGCTTTCCAATGTCCTAGCAAGTTCATGTGTGTTTATTTTTAATTGCTTAAAGAGACTTGGGTAGTTTCTTGTCCTTTGCAATTTTTCATTCTTTCATTTCACTGTTAATGGATTTCTGTTCTGCTCATGATTGTGTATCAATAGACTAGAGAAACAGAGAGCAAAAAAGATAAAATTGACTAACACTACAATCCGAGTCCACTCTCTCTTCACCTGTAGAATTGGCAGCAAGTAGGAAGCAAGAACACTAGAGATAAGGAAAATCACATCAAATGACACCTGATTCTTCTTTCAAAAGCCTAATGTATTTCAGAGTAATCCAGTTAAATAATAGACATGCATATATAAATATCTAAATGAATAAGTGAATATAAAAAATACAATTAAAAGAGGAAAAGCTATGGAAATAATCACTGACAGTAGTTGCACTTATCCTTCTGTCATTCCTTTCTGGGAAGCGCTGCTGCAGGCAACCTCAGGGGCAGACCCGCTTCCTCCTGGGAGGTCACTCTGGCTGCCCCTGAAATCTCCCTTCCTCTCTTTGCCCTCTCTTGGAAATAGTCACCACTGGCCATAAGCCCTGCTGATGCTCTTAGCCAGGAGGGAACGCTGGGAAAATCCTTCCAGTTCACACGTGTATCCGCTATCACTGCCATCATCACCTCCATCATAAACAACAAGGCTAAGGGAAGGCATCCACTTTAATTCCCCCACACTGGGCATCCCACATACAAGTGCTCAGTGCTGTCGTATCCAACTCTCTGTGACCCCATGGACTGGAGCCCATCAGGTTCCCTTGTCCATGGGATTTCCCAGACAAGATTACTGGAGTTGGTTACCTCCTCCGGGGGATCTTCCTGACTCAGGGATTGAACCCGCATCTCTTGTGTCTCTTGCACTGTAGGCAGATTATTTACGCCTGCGCCACCTGGGAACATGAACACTTTCTCTATGTGTGTGTGTGTGGTATATGTGTGTGTGTGTGTGGTATATGTGTGTATCTGTGTGTGTATCTGTGTGTGTGTGTGTGAACACTCAGTATATATATGTGTGTGTGTATGCTGTGCTTTTATATGTGTGTGTCTGTGTGTACACTCTGTGTATATGTGTATCTGTGTGTGTGTGAACACTCAGTATATATATGTGTGTGTGTGTCTATGTGTGTGTCTGTGTATCTATGTGTGTGTGTGAACACTCAGTATATATATGTGTGTGTGTGTATGTGTGTGTGTGTCTGTGTGTGTGCGTGTGCTGTGCTTTTATGTGTGTGTACACTCTGTGTGTGTGTGTGTGTGTGTGTGTGTGTGTGTATGCTGTGCTTAGTTGCTCAGTCGTGTCTGACTCTTTGCGACCCCCTGGACTCTAGCCCGCCGGCCTCCTCTGTCCATGGAGATTCTCCAGACAAGAATACTGGAGTGGGTTGCCATTTCCTCCTCCAGGGGATCTTCCCAACCCAGGGATTGAAACCATGTCTCCTGGATCTCCTGCATTGAAAGTGGATTATTTACCATCTGAGCTACCAGGGCAGCCCTGGTGTATACACACACACACACACACACACACACACATAAATGTTAAACCTTTGGTACCTGTTACTGCCTTTATTTTTTTCATAAGAAAAATTGCCAGCAGATAGTAACATGGATGAGGAAGTAGAAATAACCAGTGGCAGTGGAAAATTTTCAAAGTTGATTATCTCATGATAATAGTAACAACATTCAATGTGCTGGTGGAGAACTGGGTACATGATAATAGTAACAACATTCAATGTGCTGGTGGAGAACTGGGTACTAAGACTTCACATGGATTAATTCAGTGCCGTATGGCTCTCAGAGGAGTTAAGAGGAAGACACTGTTAGTTCCTCGGCTGGTAAGAAGTGCCTGTTTGACAGTGTGCATGTCTGTGTGTTTTGTGGATAGATGCTCTGGATGTGATTTTATTTTATATGCTATAGCTACATTCTTCAGCTTCTTAAATCATTCCTAGTGAATTTGGTAGAACTGCGCTTTCCAATATTGTAGCCATGAGCCAATTTTGGCTCCTAAACATTTGACATCTGGCTAATAAGATGTGACATATGTGCCCAGTACACACAAGATTTTGAAGACAATACAAAAAAATTAATGTAAAATATCTCTAAGATTTTAGATTAATTGTTGAACTATTATATTTGGGATATCATGGGTTAAATATAATAATTACTAAAATCAAATAAATTATTAGTAATACTGCAATATATTGCTATTGATTTCACCCATTTGTAATTTTCTTCTCTCTTTAATGTGGGTACTAGAATACTGAAAATCACTTATGTGGCTTGCTTCCTATTTGCATGGAACAGTGCCATGTTACGAGCACATTATCTTATGGTCTTTTGCTGAAATCAGACAGATGAGACCAAGAACTTGTGCTTGATTAGGTGTTTGTGGCTGTAGACAAGGTCTTACCTCTCCCAGGCGTGTGTCTCCCCTAAGACCTGTGTCTTGCTCTAGCCTGGTATTTCTCAGCCTCAGTGGACTCACCTTGGAAATTTCAGTAAAAGTTGCTGCCTGGATCCTGGATGCAGAGATTCTGATGGTCTGGACAGCTTGGCCATCGGGGTTTTAAAGGCCTGCAGGTGAAGTGAAGCAGTGGAAGCCGAGAACTGATGGAAAATAGGACCTGCAGAAATGAGCCCTGGGGACAGCGGGGTGGGGAGAGGGAGTGGAGGGGGCGGGTGTTGGCAGAGGGGCTTGGCTCAGTCTGCACCTCTCCTAGAACTAGATAAGTATGGGGAAAGGTCAGAGCCCGCCCAGCTCATTAAAAACTAACTAAACTCCCCCTCCCCTTCAGGGCCCTGGGGTGGGGAGGGGAGGAGTGGGACTCAGTTGGGGTGGGGTGGGGGGTGAGAATGCTTCCAGCTGTGTGAGGTGACACTTCCCCAGGGACCCCAGGGAAGGCTGGCTGTGGAAATGTACGCCTCTCTCACCTCCAGGGGCCATGGGGGTAACCACAGCACTGAGCTGAGCCTGGCCTTACCCCTTACCCCTCTCCCAGCCCCCAGCCTCTCCACAGGCTCTAAGCATCCTCCCCGTTCAGGCCGAGAGCCAGAGTCCAGGAGACGCTTCAGCGGGTCTGTGTTTGGTCGAAGGAAATACTCAGATCCATTCATATAATATTCTAAATGTCTACTACGTACAAAATTTCAGAAATCAGGCAACTTCCAACTTTTGAAGTTTAGCTTATTAGCATCGAGGCAAGAAACTGCCCCCTGCAAACCCCCGCTGACTTCAAGCAAAGCAGACTTGCCTGTTGAGCAGGGGTCTGGCTACCACTTTATTAAACATTATTGGCCCAGACCTTTCTGAATAATTTTTTATAAAACTTCCCCTGCATACCTTCCTGACAAAGTCACTCTTCCAAGGGGGGAGGTGCTGCCACCTGCCACCCATCCTTCCATGCTGCAGCGAGACATCTTTTTCGAATAAGCATGTATTCTCTGAGACCAACCACCAGATCTTCCTCTATCTATCTCTTCTATTTTTTTACGATCCGTTTAGGATTCTGCCATGTTATGTGAACATTCCCCTATGTCCAGGTTGATCAGGGCTCACAAAATGACCAACAACACTTTTGCTCTCAAATTCACCATCATGAACATGGCTTGGAAAATGATTACTTTTTAGGATTTTTACCACCAGATAACTGCCAGGCGATGAAAATAGCTGTGTCCATGTATGTAACCCTTCCTCTCAAACCTTTGGGAGAATAAGTGGGCAGTGCTGAAGACTATCACAGCACTCTCTCATTTCCAGACTCTTAAAGATGAAGGGAAGAGCTGCCCAGCAGACGTGAAGCCGCATTTATGAATGAATGCATTCATGGCTGGGTTTCCTGCCTTCTGTGTTTTCTTACAGATCTAAAGTTGTAACTTCCACACAGTACTGAACTACATGAACAGTTTCTATTCTCTGTCCCCCGAGGAGAGAATACTTGGCAGCGCATGTAACGTTTAAAAAAAAAAAAAATCCTTTCCTCTGGCTGGCATTCAACTTTTATATTTTTAGATTTGGAAATACGTTTCCCTCTCCCTCCACCCAGCATATATATTTTTATTCTCCTCTGACTCCTTCCAAACTGCAGCAAAATCTGTTTCCTGGCAATTTGAGAAGTGAGAACTGTCGGAGGGGGGAAAAAAAGTGAGGAGACATGTGATGCTGTCATGTTAGCAGGGAAACATTGCCCAAGGACAAAGCCAGGGGCCGTCTTGTGATGTTTTCTTCTGCTCACACAGGCGTCCTATTTTGATCTCACCGAAGTTTACTCCGGCGGCCCCCATTCAGACATTGTGACCCGCGTGAAATCAGCAGGGGAACGGACTTCTGAAGATAAGAAGAGCTGATGCTCTCACAACCATCAGGACCAAACTGTCACTCGGAATTCATTGTAAATATACAAAGCAGGCAGTCCGCTCAGCTATAGCTCTGATCTTAAAGTGCCCGTCCTACTGCTGGGTTAGAAAGTCCGTTCCTTCAACAAGGACTTATCGTGCCATTGTTCTCTGCCAGGCTTGGCTCCAAGCAGCAGGAACAGGGCAGCTTCTGCAATGTTGGTTTTGCAACAACCCTAAACTCTCAGCCTGGGCACTTCAGAGGTTACATAAGACCTGGGCGGCAGGGGTGGGGGAGAGAGGGGGCGGAGGCGGGAGAGGAGTGTCTGCAGTACTCCCAGAAACACCAAAACCTTTCAGGTCAGAAGACCATCTTTTCCTTCTGCTGCAGGATTTTTGCCTCCTGTCAGAACAAGAGCTGGCTAAAAAAAAAAAACACAGCATAAACTTTTCTGTTTCCTGTCTGAGGATTATCTAACCACAAATACCAGCGTGGATTCCAGTTTTACATAACACTCTGGGGTACATCATTACACTCCGCTTCTCAAAGGAAAAGAGACAATGTGAGGATATTGCAAGAATTATTTTCACACATGAATTATCGTACAGTATTACAAAGAGTTATGTGCAAAACTCCATTAAAAATCATTTACAAAAGGAAATACAACACAGTATGTGTTGAGGGTTCCAGATGTATAGCAAAAGCTTGAAAAGGTACAAAGTAGAAAGCCAAACAAATCAGATGACTGGGCATCTTTACACAGTACAATAACATACTTCTGTAACTACCTGTGTGACACGGATACAAGAATTCATTCTCTGTGCAACCCCCCGACCCCCACCCAAACAGGTTTCATAAAACAGAAATTGAACTTCACCACACATTCCTACAACACAGACAGGCTTTTTTGGTGCATCGGCAAACTCCTTTCCAAATAGTATTTATTTAACTCGATGAAACTCACATTATGTGGTTTCTGCCCCAAAGAATTTGATGCTGTTAGTTTTGATTTATGTGGAAAAGGGGGAAAAAAAACCTGTTGCTCTAATTTTTTTTTCCTCGTGGGGTTTTCAAAATTGCTTCCAAAAGCAAATAACATGGGACAGATTTTGCAAACCTCACTGCATATTTACAGTATTTTCAGCATAGGTGGTTCCTTCTATCTCCTTTTCCCACTTCCTTTAAGGAGCCTGAACCAGCAGGCTCCACTCTTTAGTCTCCTATGAAGAGTCTGTATTTCCCTCTCAGTCTCTCTCTACATTCATTTCTCTCCTGATTCTCAGCATCACTTGGTGAAAACACAAAACAACATGATAGCTCTGAGCGTGAACAAGGTAATGACAGTACATCGGATTCCCAAAGGCATTCTGTGGCCAGTGTCAGAAATACATCGCTGTAAGAAACCCAGTAGTCTCTCCCCACAAAGTGGCCGAAACATCCAGTTACGGAAGAGAGACCTTTAAAATGCAATACTCTCAAATCCAGCAAGAGATTTCTTTTTTGCATCATTCAATGTTAAAATCACATGCATAATTATAGAATATCTTAAAAGTTACAAAAATATTTTAAAAACCAATCCTGACAGTTTACCTGCAACTGCTATAAAATCTTCTATGAAATATATAAAAACACAAAGGCTCTTTGTAAAAAAAAAAAAAAGGGGAAGGAAGGAAGGGTGGATGAAGGCATCCACAGAACTGAGAGGTCCTTGATGCACTGCATCGGACAGTCTTGTCAAACGCCTGCTGTTGAACTTGAGAGAAGAGCTGGTACTTAAATGTTTATTCAGTACATATGCACACACGTGAGCCAACCCAATACCTGGCTGAGGGGTAGGCAGCAAGCCATGTGGGGACACTTGAACCACTGGATGCAACTTTCCACCTCTGAAGGACAGGTCCTCCTCTTTGCCGAACCTCAGCGAGCTCGCTGGGGAGTCGTGGTTAAAGATGCCCTTGGCCAAGCGGGCCTGTGGATGGCTCGGTCACGGGTCCTCAAGGAGATGACTGCACAAGACCGTGGACGCCAGAGGCCGGGTTGCTAAGTCTCCCCCTTTGGACGCACCACTGGGAAGCCTCTGCGAGTCCCCTAGGAGGCGCTGAGGTCTTCCTCCCCGTTCTGGAAGATGATGCCATAAGGATCCTTCTTGATGCGCTTGTAGACGAAGTGGAAGACGTGGGGCTGTGGCCGGCTGTGCAGCTCGGCCTTGATCTTCTGCGGGTACGTGTCCTCTGCGAGCTGCTGCCACGTTTCATCCACAAAGAGGAAGAGGCTGTACTCCTGGGGGTCGGCCACCTTGAACTTCTCGGCGCAAAGCTGACACACGTCTTCAGTGGTGACGTACGGCCTCACGAGGAGGGTCTTTCCCGTGCAGCCACTGTTGACCTCCTGGAATGCAACCCGGAGGTAATTCTGCAGGGGGTGGAAAAAAGAGATTGGGGGGGGGGGCAGAGTCAGAAGAGGAAGAGAGACGGCACAGATGAACCCGTGGGATGCCAAGGAGAGGGCTTGAAGGTGAGCCTCACCAGGACGTCCAGAGTCAGGACACCGGGCCTCCCAGGGAGGGAAGGGGGCTGATCCCAGTCGGGACAGTGGAGAGCACACTGCATGGTCTGGGTTACTGTACTGTTATTGTTTAGTCGCTCAACCGTGTCCGACTCTTTGCAACCCCATGGACTGTAGCCCGCCAGGCTCCTCTGTCCATGGGATTCTCCAGGCCAGAATACTGGAGTGGGTTGCCATTTCCTTCTCCAGGGGATCTTTCCAACCCAGGGATCGTACCCGCGTTTCCTGCATTGCAGGCAGATTCTTTACCAACGAGCCATGAGGGAAGCCCTGTAATTCATCCCAAGTGTCAGAAGCAGGAAGTCTGTTCAGCCCTGCTCTTTCAGTCCCTTTCACAACGCAGGGCTGAGAAATTCCTGGTAAAGAGTGTCAACTTACTGCTGCCCTGATCTTATCCCTCTAGCCTCCAAAACTGTGAGAAATAAATCTCTGTTGTTCACAAGCCAAATAAAAAAAAAAAAAGAGTGTCAACTAGAAGTGATGCCGGGTTTATTCCCAGCTTGAAAAGTAACCCAGAGGGCAGAAGGGCCTGAGCCAGGACAGCAGGGGGAGACACATAACATGAGGACACAAGAGCACAGGCCCTGTTGGCTCTGGACTACCTTTTACAAAGCCTAAGCAGAGGCTATGCTGTTATTGCGGACAGCGGACCATCCTTCTCTCCCCTAAGGGCGATTTCACACCGCTAAACCCAACACAAGGCTCCAGTGGCTCTGAGCGCCCTGTGGAAAGTTGGTGGTGGTGGGGGGAACATGGATTCTGTGGAAAGACTTGGGAGATGCGCTGACTGGGTGCAGGGTGCTGCCATGTGGAAATGGAAGGTGTCAGGGGGCGGGGGGTGTTGGCAAGGCCCCGTGTCATAAGCAGTGCCAGGCGAGCGGCATCAAAGGACAGACTGGGGTCCTGACCAGGGCCAGGGTGTCCCAGCCTCCCGCCCGGTTCTCCCAGAGTCTGTGGCCCTGAATTATTCTTCGTTCCACTTCTTCAGGAGTGGTGGTCACCAGGTAAAATAGGGGAGGCCCTGTTACATCGGATTTTCAGACAGAAAATAAATGCTCTGCACAGGAATGATAAAGTCGAAGCTCTGAACTGGAACATTTCGGGGCACCTCTGAGCACACACCTGCCCTGTTTTACTTACCCCTCCTCTCTCTTCCCGCGCCCCACCCCCAGCACACGTGGTCCGCACGCCTGGTGTACATTCACTCACTGACTCCTGAAGAGGACTTTGTGCAGGAGGCCTACACTAATCCCCATCTGACCAGGGAAGAAACTGAGGCACAGAGAGGCTAGGTAACTTGCCCAAGGCCACACAGCGGGCCAGTGGCAGGGCCAGGGTTCCAGCCTCCTGCCCATGAGGTAAGGTGCTTGCTACTCCAGCGTGAGCAGACACGTGTGTCTGTGAGCCTGACTTAGGTGTTCCGAGTGCAGCCTCGCTTCCTGGCATTGCTCCTTCAGCCAAGCTGAGTGCCGACAATCTCTGTCTTTGGCCTATTCTAAGAAGATGCCCGTCTGCAAGGTGAGCGAGGCTGGTAGGGAGGGGTGTGTGTGAGACAAGGGCTCCGTGGACTCCAGGGGTCTCTGGTCAAGAAGCTCCAGATAGAGACAGGGGGCTGGGGGAAGGTGGGAATTGGAAGGACATGCATTTTCCTTTAAGAACACCTTGCTGACCCTGCCTTTCCACAACAGGCTCCTTTAAACCAAATGTACCTTTTGAGTGTTTTCAGAGCATTAAAAGGCAAAAAGGGCAAGGAAAGTGAATTGGGACTCAGAGACAAATCTGGCCTGCTTGGGAATTCACCACGTGGCATGTGGACTCAGTCCGGGTTCACAGTTCTGCTGGAAGCTTTTAAAATAATATTCGAAGACCTGTGCAGACTCATCAATTCATAGACTGAGCCCATGAAGCGATCCTGTGTTGGGTCAAGATTTCTACAGCCTTAACCCGCCTCTCCTCTCCAGGAAGCACGCTCCATAGTAACCCCACTTTCCCAGCACCAGTTCATGGACAGAGAAAATTCTGGATGGGGAATTCAGGCAAGATTGGGCTCAAATATTCATGCTCCAGCTCTGGCCCTACCAGGCTGCCAGAGCTGACACTGCTGATGAGACCCTAGGGTCTTCTGTTTTAGGGGTAGGGGGTAGGGAGAGAAAAAAGGAACGGGGTCACTGCGCCCCTCCAACTTCTCAGAGAGGCCAGGTCAAGTGCAGGGCCTCACAGGGCTGTTTCCATATGGCAGGTCACCTGTCTGCCACCTGTGCCAAAAGCATCCTTCCTGTAGGCTTTCTGAGGGCCTAGGTGCTCAGTATCCATGCAGAACCTTCAGGAGGAAGTCCTGCCCTCATTTGACTATTTCCTTAAGGGCAGCAAAACTTGGGCCAAATCCACACACACACACACACACACACACTCTCTCTCCCTCTTTTAAGGGAAAGAGAGAAGTGAAACAAGGTCAGAAGATGGTTTAAAATATCCCTTTTCCACTGGATGACCGGACGAGGGGGGGCCCCTGAGCCACGTGGGCCGTGAGGAAGCAGCGGGGCCCGCCCTGGCCGCTGGCCACGCACCTGAAAGTCGTCCACCGAGGGGACAGTCCGGTTGGTGGTCCTGCGCTTGTGCCACTGCCTCAGGGTGTCCCTGGCCTCGGAGCTGAGCAGCCGCGCCGCCTGCTCTTCCTGGAAGTTCTTTATCAGGGAGAGGGCCCCGTAGGCGCTCGTCAGGTAATAGCCTCCTGGAAAGGGTAGACAGAGTGAGTTCTGCTGGGGTTCACCTCTGGGGACCACAGGAGGGGCACCACAGCGTCGGAAGTCAATCTCCACCTTGCCCCTTCTCTTCCACAAGCAAATTTTTTTTTTTTTTTTTTTGAGCAAGAGAATCCTCTTCCATCCATTCCTGCATTCCTCTCCATGGATGTGCAGCTAACCCAGGTCTGAGCCACTGCCTGGGGACTGAGGACCAGGCCCTGCTTCCACTGATGGAATTTCCATTCCGAAGCTGAGACTCAAAAAATCAACCGAAGTGCAACTGTGAAAATGCTTTGCCAGAAAAGGTCAGAGCGCTGGAGCCTGACATATTGAGGGCAGGGGAAGGGTGGTGGCTTGTGAGGGCAGCGGGGTCCACTGCTGAGGTCAGAACACTTTCCAGTAGGAACAGGAGTCCACCCACCTCCCAGCAACACCTGCTTTGAAGCTTCTCATTTAAGAATTCCTATGTGCTAAATTTGAAGTGAACTATATATACACTTTGAAAGAAATACACAATATACAAGTGTGCTTACAATAATATGGGGTTTTCAAAATAACCTCTCCCTCATGTTTCCCTTTCTTACCCTTACACATAGGGACTCACAGAAGAGGACATTTAGGAAAAGGTTAATTTACAGGGAAAAGGAAGTGGCGTCCCTTTTGCTGGTGCATTTGGGAATGATTTCCTGTCTGTGCTGTGCGGAGTTGCTAGGTTGTGTCTAACTCTTTGCGACCCCATGGACTGTAGCCCCACAGGCACCCCTGTCCACGAGGATTCTCCAGGCAAGAATCCTGGAGTGAGTAGCCTTTCCCTTCTCCAGGGGATCTCACCCACCCAGGAATCGATCCCGGGGTCTCCCACATTGCAGGTGGATTCTTTACCACCTAAGCCACTAGGGAAGCCCTCTTATGTCTGAGGGGGTGTTAAAAACACTTACAATACTCTGAAAGGCATGTAAATGTGTTCACAGTTTGGTCCTAAACTATAGGCTTGTCCAATAAGTTCATTCTGGTTTTCCTCTAAGATGTTACAGGAAAACCGGAAAGAACTTTTTAGCTAACCCAATACGATGAGATGCCTTTCTGGAACTTGTAAAGCTCCTTGCTGGAGAAACACTAGAGGGCGCGCTAGATGTTTATTACAAACTCTGCAACTGGACACTGCACGTTGTGGACCGAGAGACATTCTTCATCCAAATACCTGTTGAATCTCCACCTTGAGCCAGGTACGGAGCTGGGCTGGGTTTGTAAAAATTAGAATCTGAGTCCCTACTCCATAAATGCATTAAAAAAAAAAAACGGATATTGGTGTGTTATTCACGCAGGGACCAGAAGTTAGCTGTGGTTAAATGAGTTTTGTCTGCCAAGTGTCACTTCCACCACCAAAGTATTGAGTGTTAACACAAGACCCTAGAGAACTTTCTCTCTGGTCAATGAGTGGCAACACTCAAGAGGGCAGTGGTCCACCATCTAGGAAATGAGTTGAATGCCCCCCTAAGTCATACTGGACGTGGAATCTGAGAAACAATTTTGTGGTTTTCAGGTCACTGGCAGAGATTTGGGGGTCATTTTTTTTTTTTAAGATTTTTTTGATGTGGACCATTTTGAAAGTCTTTGCTGAGTTTGTTACAATATTGTTTCTGTTTTATGATTTGGTTTTTTGGCAGGGAGGCATGCAGAAGCTTAGCTCCCGGACCAGGGATCGAACTTGCATCCCCTGCATTGAAAGGTGAAGTCCTAACCACTGGACCACTAGGGACGTCCCTGGAGGTTATCACTTACTGTAGCATCCTCTCGCCCACTCTGAGCAGCACACCTGCTATACATCCATCATAGGTCAGCCTTTTTGTTCAGTCATTTGACTAATTTGGCAGATTTACCACTCAGCTGTAAGCTTCCTAGGGCAGCCCCCACGGTACGCAGGAGAGAGTTTCAAGTGGCTGAGTTTTACTAAATATTTTACCCATGAACAAATCACATGATTGAGTGGGAAACTCAGTAGTATGGAATTTAAATGTGACACAGAGGATTTTAGGAAAAACCAATATGGAACCCAAGGACTCAAGAGAGGCTTGTGGAGGTGTCAGAATTGGAGCTCGGACTTGGAGGGACGATGACTGTTGAGTTGGGGATGGGGGTGGTTTCCTTTTAATGTCAAATTTTTCACTCTATGGCTCAAAGTTCAGGCCACTGAGGGGAAAACGCCAAATGCTGGAAGCACAAAACTGACCACACTTGGAAACATGTGGATGCAATTAGAGTAAGGTTTAAATTTCAGAAAAACTAACCCTGCCACTAGGGCTGTACATGTCAAAAGGATTCTATGACGTCTTTTCCGTAAATGAAACGACCTGCTTCAACAGCAGAAAACTGATGTGGGCTGTGCTTTGGGCTGTGGGGCAGGATGCAGGGCAGGACCAGCCGTGCGTCTCCTCCTGGTCTGCCAGCCTGACAGGGCCGCCCGGTTCTCCCAGCAAGGAGCCCAAGAAGCCAGGACATGGCTGAGTGAAGGTGGGCTCCAGTGAAACCCCAAGTTGACTGACTGCTCTGTATGTTTTCTAGCTGCATCCTTGTTTTTCTCTGTGATTCCCGGAGGTGAGGACCTGCCCACCTGTCACTGACACAGTACCCTGAGCAATGCCTCACTCTGGAGGAATGCTGGGGAAAATGACAGGAAGTGGCTGTCTCCATCCTCAGGTCACAGGATGTAAGCATGTGTTTGTCCCAAGTACACACTGTCAGCAACAGAATGGTAATTTTCTGAGGGAGGCTGACATGTCCTTTCCCCAAAGCCCCAGGAGTTCAGCACACTTATTACTAGAATTAAACACGACTGAAGCTCAAAATAACCCTCGCTGCATATACAATTACAATAATAATGCCATGGAAGAAAGAAAAAAAGGGCATGGAAATGAATGTATGTTTCCTCTTGGTCCCTGGACAAAGCCATGCTCCCTCCCTCCTGGGAATCCCAGGGCAGAGCCGGAGGAAGGCTCCAGGCAGGGTCTGGGCAGTTTATCCTGGAGGGTCCAGACTCAGCATTGGTTTATATTCATGAGGGGAGATAAACTGGGAAGAGGTAAAGGGATGGATGAAAAGATACTCATCACTGGTCCTGAGTCAGCGGGTCCCTGCAGGGGTGGAGGGGGACCACAGGGCTCCCTAGAGGTCAGATCTTCTGACCCAGAGCCAGACCCTGGGGACCAAGGGAACTAATGCACACATTTGGGGGGTGACAGTGCACTGCCGTCTCCTCCAGGGAAAATCCCAGGATGCTACATTCTCTGGGGAATCCCATCGGCATGTGGATGGACCTTTTCACTCAAGCCCAGACTAAAACTCACTAGAGGAAAAAATGTTAGGCGCAAATTCATCACTCAGAGTCCATGTGGGCTGAGACATATGAAATGAACTGTCAGGACACACAGGCCGAACAAGCTCCGATCTGCTCCCCTTTAAGACAAGCTCATACAAGAGTCCTCGTTATTTCAGGCCTGTGCACCACGGTGACAAACACCCTAATTATTTCCATGATAAAATACTTAACCCTTGTGTAAGGACAGGGATTCCTGTGAAGACGTGTTGGAATGAGGCAGACAGGAGGAGGACGACTGAACTGACAAAGTAAGTTGAAAGCAAATCGCCCAGATTTTTTTACTCCGCTGTGGTTTTATGTGAACGATGAGCAGGTGCTATTTTTTTTTTTTTTTTGGTAAAAAAAGGAAATCACTGATGCTATTTTCATCTTGAAAACCAAATTTAAAGAATAAAGATGAAAACCAAAGATAGGCCTTTGTCTGATTCACTGACACAACAGTGGGCAGTTATGCTGGCAGTGGAAATATTCTGCAGTGAAACTTTACAGTTTCCCTGTGAAATCAAAGAAACCATTTCTTTTAAAAATTGGCCCTGATTCTACTGAATGGTATTTTTTTTTCCTTTACTGCAACTAAGCAATCTTGGTGAAGTATAATTATGGCAGGGTTGCATTGTTTTGTGTGTTTTTTTTATTTTTCCAAATTTTCTGCAACGAACATTATGACTCCTGTAATCTGGAAAAAAGTCAGTACCTTCTCACAAATGAACAAAACTAAAACGGCTGTTAACCCTGAATATGTCAAGAAGCACCCATGTAAGTGCCAGGTGGATCTGAGGTTTTATTTGGGGGGATGAAGATGTTTTGGCGCTGAAAAGAGTTGGAGGATCGCTCCAAATTGCAACTGGACTAAACGCTACTGAATTGTCCACTTTACAATAGTTAATTTTAGTTTAACCATGAATGTACTAAGGGCTATTGCATTGCTCATTTTCAAATAGTTATCTCATGTTCTGCAAACTCTGCCTCAATTTACAAAGAAAAGAAAATAAAAATGAAAAGCACCCAGTTCCTCCCACTTCTCCAAATGCCCGCTACCTTCTCCATGTAGCAGGGATGGATCCAGAAGCTCCATCATGTACTCGACCTCCGTGTCTAGCTCCAGCATGTCACACTGCGCTATGACATAGGTCAGGACCGGCAAAAAGTCATCTGCTCCGTACATCCTCCCTGGAGTAGGAAGAAAGGGGGGGACAGATGGGTTATTTTTAGCCGCATTTCTCCCTTTCATGTCCTACTTGCTGCTTTTATTAGCAAAGAGCCATGCAGGGGAAGTGAGGTGGGTGTTTCTGGAATCCTACAGTGGGGAGGGCTCCTTCCCACTGCCCTCATCAGAGGCAGACCCTAACTCACAATTTCAGGATGAATGTCCAAGTCAATGAACACAGGGAAGATTGGGTTTTCCCATTTCCATGATTTGCCTCAACACATGCAATAAATCGGGGCTTCCCTGGTGGCTCAGCGGTAAAGAATCGGCCTCAACGCAGGAGAGGCAGGTAGTCGCAGGCTTGATCCCTGGGTTGGGAAGATCCCCTGGATCTACTGGAGTGGGCAACCCACTCCAGCATTCTTGCCAGGGGAATCCCATGGACAGAGAAGCCTATTGGGCTACAGTCCATTGGGTCGCAAAGAGTCGGACATGTCTGAGCACACACACACGTGCAATAAGAGTCCTTTTTTTTTTAAAGAGTTTCACTTTTCAGCAAGTGACAGAATAAAACATTTTGCATTAAGTGTCTACTTAGGATGTTTCTCCTTTGTGTCTTCCTATTGGTTTCTGTCCAAATTAACCAAACCATAGTGACCAAAACCAACTTCAGCAAGGAACAACTCGTCCTTCTCCGTCTTCAGTGTGACTTAAATGTGCTCCATCAGTGGACATTGAATAAATACATCTGATTAATATCTGACCAAAAAGATGGTCAGTCCGTACTACGTTTTATCACGACAGAGATTCTCAACTAGCGGTGACTCTTGCCTCCCAGAGAAGTTTGGCATTGTCTGGAGACATCTTTCACACTCATGACGGGAGGTTGGGTGTGCAAACAGCAAGCATCTGGATGCCGATAAACTTCCTAGAGGAAGTGGGACGTTCCCACAGCAAAGGACTAGCTGGCTGTAATGTTATTAGTGCTGAGGTTGAGAAACTGCCTAAGAACAGAATCCTGTGCAGATATAATGTGGGGGACTTCTTATAATTTGACAGACTACAGAAAATACACTTCTTGGGACTTCCCTGGCCATCCAGGGGTTAAGACTCTGCACTTCCAAGGCAGAGGGTGCAAGTTCGACTCCTGGTTGGGGAACTAAGACCCACATGTTGCTTGGCTCAGCCAAAAAAATAAAAGAAAATCCATTTCTTGCATGTGAAGTATGCTTAAGAAGCGGTGTTCATCCGCCAGCATCACCAGCCTAGGAGCTCACGTGTTAACATTTCTGCTCAACAATCTGCAAAGTGCATGCTCATGGTGACCTCCCCCAGCCGTGAGAAAACAGAGCCTGTGTTTTCTCTCTGCTGCCTCTCCATGAAGCAGTTTCGCTCAATGGAAACACTGTGATCATCCAGGGAATTAAAAAGGCTCACCCAAGACCTGGGGTACCACAGGGCTCATCACTACCCACAAATCAGGGTCACTCTCGCATCTACAAGTAGCAGCCCTGGGGAAACCTGAGGGCTGACACGTGTGAATTCCTATTGCACTGCATCAGCTCAGAGCAATGAAAGGAAGGATGGCCAATAAATGACTGTAATGAGACCTGAACGCTCCAAGTTTCTGACAGATGCTATCACGGACACAGGCTCTCACAGGCCAGAATGTAGTAACAACAGGAATAATCAGGACTATCTCCACCATGCTTGGGGCTATGCAAACACTGATCTGTCTAATGCCCACCTTAGGAGGAAGCCTAGGGTCACACCCAGGACAAGAAAAGAACTGCAGCTTGGAAGGTTGATTACAGAGGTCGAAGCCCCACAGTTAATGAACGCATTCCCGGACCCAGGGTTTCAACTCAGACCCAAGACTGAGTCTGTATCCACTGCCCTGAATTAAATCTTTTTTTTTATCTTAACATAACTTTTTTAAGGGTTTTTTTTTTTCTTTTTTGGATATGGACCAATTTTTAAAGTCTTTATTGAATTTGTTACAATACTGCTTCTATTTGTTTTGATGTTTTGGCCACAAGGCCTGTGGGATCTTAGATCCCTGACCAGGTGTCTAACTCTTGCCCTCTGCATTGGAAGTGCAGAGTCTTAACCACTGGATTGTCAGGGAAGTTTCTGAACTAAAGCTTTTATAAACTGGCATTGTACAAAACTCATTGCTGCCCTGCCCTGAATTTTTGGTGTTGTTAGTTTGTTGCATGTGGACTAATTTGCATTTTTGTGAGCCCCTTGGTGAAGTCAAGAAGCTGAAAGGAAGAGCAGTTGGGGATTGGAAAGCCCAATACATCCCAGCCCCATCGGAGGGCCAAGAGCCTGGATGAGGTGGTGGCCTCACCTGAGTTGTTCTCCATGACGGTATAGATGAGCTTGCAGACTCTCAGCAGCAGCATGACCTTCTTTTCTGGCGAATACATCTTCTGCATGGTCATGAACTTGACCTTGATTTTCTCCACGTCTACAAAGTCAGGGGTGGGGGCGAAGACGCCCAGCTCCTGTGGATTCCTCTGCCGCACGAGCTGCAGGTTCTCCTTGAGTTGTTTCCATGAGCCATCGGCCACGTGGAAGTGCTTCAGCATGGCCTCGACGTGGCCTTTCAGGGGCTTCAGGATGCACTTGTGCATGGCTTTCTCCAGCACCACATCTGCCAAAGAAAGCGCAGCTACTGTGACCATTGTCTGAAGAAAGAAGAAACGTAAGGTCCGCTTTCTGGAAATGCACACCTGCAGCTCTGTGCATTGGTTATCAGGCAGACATGTCCCAACTGCACAGCCAATCAACCAAAATTTAGCCCCACATCATTTACACACCAGGCTTCCCTGGTGGTTCAGACAGTAAAAGATCCGCTTGCGGTGTGGGAGACCTGGGTTCGATCCCTGGGTTGGGAGGATCCCTTGGAGAAGGAAATGGCAGCCCACTCCAGTGTTCTTGCCTGGAGAATCCCCATGGACAGAGAAGCCTAGAGGGGTACAGTCCATGGGGTCACAGAGAGTCAGACACTGAGCGACCAAGCACAGCACACATGCATTCACACACCAAAGTTTTTTTTTTCTTCCGTAAAGAGCCAAGAAGAGTGAATCTTCCCTAACAGTCTTATAGTCTCTCTTGCATGCAGTCAATGCAACTGAATATATTTAACTACTTTTATACCTTCTCACCCATAAGCACAGGTGAATATTCTAGAAGGTATGCTTTCGACCCAGTCTTTCCACTGAGAAGCCAGTGAACAGCTAAGCAAATGTGCTATGTTAAAAGAAGGATTTGCTAATAGCAAGGGTTCCAGCTCCCTCAAAATATTTCCTGAGGGAAAAATTCAACTAAATACACATGGTATCTTGGATTGGATTCTGGACCAAAAAAGTCTTTCTGTCATTTACTATAAAGGACATAGTGGGGCATTAGATGAGATCTGAATAAAGTCTGCAGATTAGATAATATCATTAACAATGCATCTGGCTTCTTTCACACAGACTGTATCTTGGAGATTCAGCCAGCTGTGCCTGGAGCAACAGTGTGCTCTTTTTCACAGAATGACTCTTCCCTGAAAGTTAATGAAAGTTAATGTTACTGCAGTTTTGTAACACAATGTCCCTATTTTTAGATAAATACCCACTAAGTATTTAGGGAAAAAGGGATACAATGCCTGCAACTAGCTCTCATGGTTTAGATAAAAGGAGGGGATGTGTGCATGTGTATGTGTATGTGTGTGTGAGTGTGCGCGTGCATGTGTGTGTGTCAACAGGAAATCACTAACACTGGGAATCTGGGTGAAGGGCAGACATGATTTCTTCATTGACTTTTTGCAACTTTTTTGAATGTCTGAACTGATTTCAAAATGAAAATTTAAAAATTCTTGAACTGAGTTTCTGTTCAGAATTAGGAAATATCCTTAGGTGTGGGAGACATTATTTCCCCCTCTTTCTTGGAATGGTTTGCTCAGCGGAGAAGCCTTCTTGGCTGATGTTACAGGGACCAGGACCACGAAGCTGGAGCCCTGGTCTGAAGAGGGTCTGTGCTGTGAGAGGCTCTCTGCTTCTTCCACATCAGTTTCTCAATCTCAAATGTTTCACGTTCTCATCAAAGCTGCCTGGGTAGCAACCACCCCAGGGATACGACACTTGGGGATACGATTTCATCTTGGAAGCCCAGGAACCCACAGAAATAGCCAAGTTATCTCTCTGGCCCTTGGCATTCCTGACAGACATCAGATGACACGGACTCTAAATGATTACCTATTATTAGAAGATCAGGGACAAAGAGAAATCTAAGCAGGACATACCTATAGAAACCAAGGTTGAAGCAAAAGAGGTTATACAGTAAGAAGAAAAACAGAAAAACATTTCTTCACATCTGGCATTAAAACAAATTACTGTTTTAAAACAAATTAAAACCAAGATTGCATTGGTTATGCTGTGTCAATAAACTTCTAGAAAGTCATATAGCATCTCTGACTTCACTTCCAATGGCCACTAGGATGAAAAGTCAACAATAGTAATTAACATTGGGTGCCCAGTTGGGCTAGGCTTTATTTCATTATCTCATCTAATTCTATAGTATCTCTATTATTTTTGCACAATATGACTATTAGGGCTTTTTATAGATGAGGAAACAAACTTGGAGATGTCTAATGGTTTGCCTGAGCCCATAAAACTGAACACCCGGCTTTTCAAAGTCAATGCTATCTTAGTTCTAAAGTTCATGGTGTTTCATAAACATTCACCAGTTTACTGCTCTATCCAAAGATTCTGCAGATACATTCCTGGTGACCCCTCCCTTTGCTGGAAGGAGGTCACCAAGGGAGGAGAAAGCCACGTCAATCATTAATTAGGATGCACATGAATGCTGGGAGCAGCGTTACTCATAACAGGCCCAAACTAGAAAGCACCCAAGGCCCAACCCAATGGCATGGATGTCAGGAGATATATACACAATGGAATTCAGAAAATGGACTGCAGACAATGGAAGATTCATTCCATGACAAAGAGCAGGTTGCTGCTCCAGACACAACTGGCTGAGTCTCCAAGATACAATCTGTGTCAAAAAAGCCAGACACACAAGAGTTGTCTCCTTTAGCATGATGCTTACACAAAGCTCAAGGACAGACAAAACCAACCTATGATGACAGGTCAGGATGGCAGTCGCCCTGAGAAATAAACGGGGCTTCGGGGGACACTTCCAGGTGATGGAGACGGTGGATGCCTGTGGTGGCTACAGGGATAAAAAATTGTCAAGATGAGCACTTGAAATTTATACACTTCATGGATATATGTTAAACCTCAATAGCCATGTGTATAAATCAAACCAACAGAAAACACCTAGAGACCAGCCTGAGCATTTCACCTTGAACCCCAAGGGCAACTTTTAAATTCCAAGCAAGTCTGATCATCTCAGGGCCAGAGTTTGCACACAAACCATCTCCAAAAGGTTCTATGCTGTTCCTGGGGCTGACAGCAGACAGCTCGTCACCAGCCAGCTAAGTGAGTCTCTTGAGCAACTCATCCTTGTCCCCAGGGAAGGGGTGCTGATACTGGCCTTTGAGCCACAAACTCCACTCTTAATAGCAGATGCAACAGTGGAAATCTGCTAGGAGGGTTGATATCCAGGACCCATTGCCTTAAAATTCCCAAAGAAACAAATTTTTAGAACATTTTTAAAAGGCTATAATTTAGAAATAAGAAAAAACTGGTCTCTCTGCTTTCCTTTTCAGGTCTTCACTCCTAACCACCCCTCCCCATCCTCACAAATGTTTAATAAATACAATGAATAAGAAAAAAAGTCCAAATGACAAGGATTCAGTACCTGAATGATTCTCTCAAATAGGAAAAGAAGGTCATGCTTATGAGACAAGAAGGAAAAATGATTTTAGGAAACAAAAGGAACAGAAAATCTTTCAGAACGTGGACTAGCTCAGAACAAAAGGAAAGAACAGATCAGATCAGTCATGTGGCTTATAAATTACTACTATCCGTTTTCCCCTACCCTCTCTGGTTGCTTTACATCCAAGAATGATGCTGTTCTAGGCATTTTACACGCACTGACTCTTCAGCTCCTCCACCAAACCCCTGGTGGGAGGACCGTGATTTATTTTATAGCTGAGGAAACCCAGAGACATGGATGCCACACAGGTACCAAGGGGAGCCAGGACTCAAGCCCAAGAACTCTGGTTATGTCAACTGTGTTTATCTACAAGGAAATAAAAAGATGCCGGAGAACTGTCTGCACTGCTACATTTTGAGTCTGAGAAACCGATTGCTAACTGGAAACACAGTTTTTGAAAAAATTTATAGAGATCCTATCAACTGGTTCCAAAGTTCATCCACTCAGGCAGGAAGTCAGGGGCATCAGCCTAGAGCTCCCTGCCTTACTGAGACCTGCAAATGCCGTGATTTACAGAAAGTGCTCGACGTGTTGGCCTCCAGAGCCGTGACACGATCACCCCTGTCTTAGGAATGAGGACAGAAGCCTAAGGTCTGTCACTTCCCTCTGATCGGAGGCACAGATTCCAGAGAAAGTCAGGCATGAGACGGGGACCCATCACAGGACAGGCTGGCTCACTCATCAGCTCGTCTGGACACTTTCTGCTCCCCTACTTCTGCCAAAGAGGAAGCGAGAGTCCAGAAGCTGAAGTTCAGCGAAGGCGCGTGTCTTAGAAAGAGTGAGAGGAGGTGGCCTGGCAGCCGGCCCAGCTGTGTCTTTCTAAGTGACTCTAGCCTCATCACTTCACCTCTCTGACTGTCACTGCCTGCAACTTCTAAACTGCCATCTACTCCTCACCCAGGGCAGGGAAGACAGAAAGAGCACTCTGAACCTAACTGATGGTTAAAACAATTCCCGGTATTCTCCAGGAATTCTAACAGAACCCAGAGTCTAAACAACATGATGTCCAAAAGGGGTAGGTTGCAACCTACATGACAAAGATCAAAGATGAAGTGAGGTCATATAGCCTCTTGGCTTATTTAAGTTCTAGCATTCTTTCAAGAAAGTAAAGTAGAAGAAATAGAAGTTAACGTTTGATGACAAGAGGCAGACCTTTCTTGTGGGGAACTCAAACTGTGAAGTGCAAACGTGCATCATCACAAATACTGACGGGGACGTCTGTTTTCACAGTTCCTGGGACAAGGGGCGGTTACAGAAGCCTGTGCTCTATGCTGGCCCTCGCTTCAGCCCTGTCACAATGAATGAGGGCCCTCTCCCTGAGGCACAGAAGTTAAACGACTTTCCCTGGATGGTGGAGAACCTGGTTGTTCCTACTGCAAAGAAGTCAGGAAATAGCATAGTGGCACTCGTTCTGTACGAAAAGGGCAAAAGGAGCCAGTTCTGTCTTTCGGTGCTAACATGGTCACCTTTGGCTGCATAGATGGATTAAAGATCAGGGCTGAACTGGATGGGGTACTCGGTGCTTTCCAAGCATTCCAAACACTTTTATGTACTTTACATGTATTTAAACTACCCTTTGACATGAATACATAACTCCTATGTGTTTTTCCTTTGGTTCTTCTAGAAGCCCACCCAGAGACAAAAGGATTAGAGTTGAGTGGTTCCCAGAGGAGAGGGAACCCTCTCCCAGTGGGAGAGGAGCCCAGGCAGCTCTGGTCCCTGAAGCAGGGAGGCAGCCAATGCCCTGTGCTTTGTTAGCCAGTTACC